TGTGTGATTGTGTTTGATCTTAGATATACACCCCAGGGATGAAGAATCTCCAGTTCTGTGCCTTGAAGACACACGTGCTTTCAGGGTCTGGGATTGTTTTAAAGAAGAAAGAAATGCTGTAAAAAACACACTTTACAAACATTTAAAAGCATCAAGAAATAGGTCTTCTAAGTAGAAGTAATATTAACAGAGCTGGCAACAATGCATTTCTCAGAACTTTTTAAAGGTTGTCTCTAAGCCAAACATTTCCTAATCTCTCTTGGAAGAACACAGGCAGCTAAGTGACCAAAAGGCTGTGGTTTTAGACCTTAACTCTAAAACTGCTGAATTTATTGATAACATAGATAGTTCAGGGGAAATTTAATTGTTTGTTTGTTTATTATACAGAGACATACATATAAAATGTGGGGTTTTGTTTTCAACTTCTGTGGTATAATGTGTGTAACGTTTGAGCTAATACTGCACGCCACTGAGGACAAGTAGCAATTTCCATGAAGTGACAGATAAGCGGTTTTAGGGGGAAAAAGTGCCAAGGATGATTCATTTGAATTCAACCTTGACAGTTTTCCTACTGACGAGGCTGACAGAAGAGAGGATAGAACAAAGGTTAAATTCTTCACTTCTAGGAAACTGCTTTGTCTTTGGGGCTTGCTCTTCCAAGCTCTGCTAGTAGACCAAGATGAGCCATTTAATTTTCTCCTACGGATACAAGATCTTCATACAGAGCTTTTGGCAGAAAAAGGAATTTCTCCATGGTTCTACAAAGCATGCATTCAATGAATGTTGATTTATTAATGCAAGTTGACCATCAAGACCTAAATTCCACAATAATCCCTCAAAAGAGTGATTTACCAACCATTACCACCTTCTCTTTGAGCAACCTGATTACCAGAACTACCAGTATTTAGAAAATTGATTGGTCTGACCTCCTGTATGCCTTTTCAGCCTCTGGCTGGAGTTGTAAAAGCAGAATCATGGCCCCAAGGCCAAAGCAGCTGAGCAACGTTAGAGACACGTGCACTCTATGAGTCGTTGGGAGTTGGCTATTTTGAACATTTTCATCACTGCTTTCACATAATACTAAGTTCTCCTCAGCAACTGATACAGGCTACTGTGTGCTGTGAATAGCATCAATGAGTTTTTTTTTTCCACATTAAATTCAGTTATCAGCCTACTGTAGATTCCTTTCTTAATCATCATCACATTAAAAAATTGTTAGCTGTTTAGTGCTATGTAGGTGCCATAAAAAATAAATTAAGGACAGTTGGGTCTTTTCTTTTAGGACCTTACAATTTTGAACAGATGATGACAACAAAGAGAAACATAAGATCTACAATAAGAAATTGCATGAACTAAATAGATAAAACATCGAACTGTGAACAAACAAGACAGTCAGCCTAGGTAGACTCTTAGTTGATGAATGAAGAGGCAATTATAGAAGCAACCCACAGAGAAGTGGCTTTTTAAAGCGCCTAGTTATTTAATTAAGACACTCTTTCCTAGAGGAAGGCAAATCCAGAGATTTTGCAGATTTGGTGACTGCAAAACAACTAAAATTCCAGGGTGGGAGAAATATTCCAGAACTTCTTCTTCTTTTTTTTTTTTAATCTCCAAAACTTGCAAAAATGGCATCAGAACTCCAGTCCAGCAAATTCTGTTAGATTTAAGTTTTGCCTTCAGCTTAGACTAAGAGCAAACATGCTATTTCCATTGAGAAAAGTGTCAGGTTATGCTCAAACGTGTATTGAACTCAGGCTTGTGAAAGTGCTCATTACTATAAAAAATGTTTTGTTTTGTTTTGTTTTAGTTGGACACAAATAATATTTTAAATGAAAAAATAACCACAATCTCCAAAACAAAAAAATTATTACATGTATTATTGTGGCATTATTTTACATTTTTGCAAAACAGAGGATAGTTGAATTCTCCTATCTCCTCCTGCATTCACGCTATTACAAACTTTGTTTTTTTAAAGTAACAATGTTATATATTTAAGGAGTACAACGTGATGGTTTGTATATATATGCTTAGTGAAATAATGACTACCGTCAAGCTAATTAACGTATCTATTTCCTAACACATTTAGCAATGTGTGTATGTGTGTGTGTGGTGAAGCCACCTGAAGTCTATTCTCTTGGCAAATTTTGAGTATACAATATAGTGTTATTAACTATAGTCATTAGGCTGTAATTAGATCTCAAGATACTATAGAAAATGAATACTAACATATTAAATATACCAGTGGACACATTTCAACAGCACCAGTAAGACAATTAAAGTCAATGAATTCTGAAAACAAACTATTATGAGGCCATATTTATATAAGTACATCTTAATAGGGGAAGCTCAAGCATTTATTTTGTCTACTTTGTTTAGGGTAAACTGAATTAACAAAAGATAATGGGCCTAATTCTAAAATCTGTCTCACTCCTCATAGCTTATTGACACAGTTGAAAGCCTCCAAAATCAGCCCCTTTAGTTTGGAAAGCCATGTCCTTCAGCTAGAAAACATTAATTACTTGTTTTCTGCAAATTTCACATTTTAAAAGAACATCTTTGAGAAAGACACAGGAGAAAGATATCTCACTACAAAGTGGCACGATTACCCTGCTCTCTGGCAAGCAAATGCGGATCTGAGGTTCTAGCCAAAGGCTCACTTCCACAGTGTGACTTCTATAGATATGCAACTTACTTTACCACAAAGCATAAGAAATGTGGTTTTCTGGAGATAAGGATGAAAATCCACTGGATTGAGAGCTGTCATCTACGCTTTGAAATGTTAGGAATAAAATGCTCTTCAACAGAGGAGATCCTCATAGAGATGACTTAGTTGGGGATGCCCAGCAGTTTTCAAACCACACACCAAAGATATCTACAAAATTGAAAGCCATCCAAAAAATCAAAAGGCTCACGGAGAATTATCCTGACAGAATTCAGCTCTGACAAATCAGTGAGGGGCTGAATAACACACTGACAACACAGAGTTAGAATCCTCCTGTGAAGCATTTCCCCTAAGCACTGGATAAGATTTTATTAGAGAGTAGTATGATATTTTTGTCTTTAACATTTCAGCCAGACTGTATATTTATTCATTCAACCATCAAGTGCCTACTGGATATCAGCATTGGGAATGCAAAAGGAATAAGCTATTTCAAAAAGACACCTGCACCCCAATGTTCATGGCAGCACTACTTACAATAGCCAAGTCATGGAAACAGCCTAAATGTCCATTGACAGATGATTGGATAAAGAAGACATGATATATTTATACAATGGAATACTATTCAGCCATAAAAATGACAACATAACACCATTTGCAGCAACATGGATGTCCCTGGAGAATGTCATTCTAAGTGAAGTAAGCCAGAAAGAGAAAGAAAAATACCATATGAGATCACTCATATGTAGAATCTTAAAAAAAAAAAGAACATAAATACAAAACAGAAACAGACTCATAGACATAGAATACAAACTTGTAGTTGCCAAGGGGTTGGAGGGTGGGAAGGGATAAACTAGGAGTTCAAAATCTGTAAATACTGACAGGCATATGTAGAATAGATAAACAAGATTATACTGCATAGCACAGGGAAATACATACAAGATCTTATGATGGCTCACCACCAAAAAGAATGAGACAATGAATATGTATATGTTCATGTATAACTGAAAAACTGTGTTCTACACTGGAAATTGATGCAACATTGTAAAATGACTATAACTCAATTAAAAAAAAAGTATATATATAAAAAATAGGAATAGGCTATGGCCCCTGAAACCCCTTGAATCTGATGGGAAGGAACACATAGAAAATCTCGATGGGGTTCAATAAATATAGGATGATGTCAGGGAAAACACTCATTTCTGTTTAGGGGGGCTTCATCAAAAGGAACAAATAGGAGGGTGGTCCAGGCAATAGAAATGACATTTACAAAGGCTTGGAGACAGGAAAATAAACAAAACACTCTAGGGTCCTGGCAAAGCAGCTTAAATTGAATAGATGGGGGTAGAAAGACAGGTGAAGGCTACATGACCAATGGAGAAGAAATCTTTGACAGACGTTAAATAGAAATGAAACGATCAGAATTACATTTAAGGACAACTCGTTGGGGTAATATGATATAATGTCTCTAGGACAACTGGATGCTTAATTGGCTAAAGAAAGTTGCAAGAAAAGTTCCATCTTTGTCCACGGAAGAGACATTGAGCTCTTTCAAATGAATGGCTAGATCCATTTCTCTGCAGCTGCATTCTTGAATATAGGACCATCAACTGAGGGAAGCTGAAGGAGAGGTACTACGCTCAGAGACCATCCGGGCATCGATGAGAGAGTGCTTGAGAATCTGGGGCCATCATCCTTCAATCAAATGCATGTCACATGGGGCACTTCCAGCTCTGCTGGCAGTAACCAATGCAGATCCAAGAAAGGGGCAGTAGACAAAAGAACTGTCTACATTGCCATGGGGATTATTAAGGAACTGACTGAGAAAGCAGTTTAATACAATTAATAGTTCATATTCCTTCATCTTCTTCAAATTGTGCCTGCATCAAATGTCACCTTCTGCTATAATTATTCTGCTAACCAGCAATCTTCTTTCTACATAACCAGTATTTTTCTTATTTCAATATAATCTTGTTTTTCCAAATAAAATGTTTTTGTTATCATTTTAAAAATAAATTTTACTAATTTAGTTTCTTGAAGTAATAGCACATTCACATAGTTCAAGCATCAAAAGTATAAAAAGATGTTTAGCGATGTCCCCTTTCCAGCCTGGTCTTCTATCTGCCAAGTTCCTATCTCCCCAAAACAAGTAACCAACATTATTAGTTTTTCCTTTACTTCAAAGGACTTATCTACTCATATAGATTATTTTCTCTTCTTTTTTTTTTTAAACTTCAATAGTGCACGGTTTTGGCATTCTCTTACCACCCCTCCTTTAAAAATAAATCTTGGAAATTGTATTAGTCAGCTCAGGCTCTCATAACAAAATCCTTACACTGAGTGGCTTAAATAACAGAAATTTATTTTCTCACATTTCTGGATACTGGAAATCCTGCATCAGGGCTCCAGGACGATCAGGTTCTGGGAAGGGCTCTTTTCCTGACTTGCAGACAGCCGTCTTCTCATTGCGTCCTCACGTGGCGGAGAGAGGCAGCAAGCTCTCCAGTTTCTCCTCTTATAAGGGTAATAATCTCACTGTGAGGGCCCCACCTGCATGATCTCAGATAACCCTAATTACCTCCCAAAGACTCTGCTTCCCAACCACACGGCAGCGAGGGTGGGGGTTAGGGTTTCAACATATGGACTCTGGGGAGACACAAACAATTCAGTCCACACAGAGATCAGTCCACGTAACATGCAAGGGGCTTCCCTCTTCTTTTTCACAGCTACTCAGTGCACTGCTGTTACATCCCATGTCTTTAAGGGTGAAACTGGGAAGACTGAAGTTGTCTTTAATCATTCTTTGTTAATAGGACCAGCAGAAATAAAGTTAGAGGTTGGAAGGTGATGTTTCTGATGAGGGTCCGCATAAACTGGAATTATATTCGATGATTGCTAGAAAAGCATCAAAACTCAAGCAGTATGTTTAAAGTGCATTCATTAGCTCATCGTTAGAGCCTCAAAACCTCAGCTTTCTAAATCAAGTATCTTTGAAATGTTGTCCTATATGAAGATACTGACTTATTTGAAGATGCAAATTATGTTGGTAAGACACATGGCTGTGAAATGTATTTCTGTCATGTCACTGCTGACAAACAATAGTCAGCTTACACCCGTTACTTATTAGACATATTATGCAGGCCATTCTCAACACATCAGTGTCCACTGGGGTTATAAGAAGAGTGCTTGTGTAGAAGATTTAGTGATCTCTGTGGTTAAAGTTCAAAGGGTTAGTCACCTCAGAAACAGAAAAAGATGAGGAAGAAAGGAAAAAGTAGAGCCACAAAATACTTCTGGACAACCTCACTGAAAGCAAAATAATAGACTGTGTGCTGCTCCAGCAGCTGGAACCATACTGCCTGAAGGAGGAGAAGGCAGAGAGGAGAGACACAGTGAAGGCAGGTGAATAGGAAAATGTATCCTTAAAATATGGCTTAAATTGGAGTCAGGTCTAGGGGAGGGAGGGGAATCAAGATGGAACCAAGGCCTCAAGCCTAAGTGACTGGATAGAGATGTTGGCTGAGATGGGGCAGAAGATATTTCAGATGGGATAAGAGTTGATTTGAGCACACATTGTGTCTGGGTGCTACTGATTGATATATGTAGGTTAAAGTTTTCAGCAGGCATTTAACAAAGAAGTTGATGTGAAGAGAGAGATCTGGGAATTCTTTCAAGAAGTATTTATGAGAATGAGAGAGAGGGGGGCAGGAGGAGACAGAGCAAGGACAGAATGATGGGGACCATCACTTAGTGATCATCATTTAAGATGATCATTAAAATATGAGTGGTCAGAGAGAGAGAAGGTGAACCAAAGTAGTGAGTGAGGTTATAGAAACCAAAAGAGGAAAGCATGGTCGACTGCGTCACAAGCTAGAAGAAAGACAAGCAACGATATGGACCCCAGATCATTGAGTTAGGAGAATGAAGTCAGATTTTAAGATATTAAGTAATGAGTTGAGTAGCAAGAAAGCAAAATCAAGAAATATTTATATTGACTTTTTTTTAGAAAATTGTGGAGTGAAGGAGAAAGATCGGAAAGCAATGATATTCCATCATGGCTATATTCCACTTTAGAGCAACCGTGTGCTTCCTCATATATTATCCCTTTTGATGGTATCTCAAGGAGATAGTATTGTAGGTAGGTAAGTGAGGAGACATGCATCAGAGAGCAATAACTGGAGCTACAAATAGAAGATGAAGTAATGGATGGAGTTAGTTTTCTAAAGAGGTGAAAGAGGGAAGAATTTAGTGCTGGAAAAGGTTAGGGATATCTCTGGTTTTCAGACAGAAAGAAGAAAAAGTGAGTCAGTGAAAAGACAAGAGCATTTGGAGGTAAAAATAGTTTAGAAAGATTCATGATTGAAGATCTGAAAGTAATCAAGGTAACCTTGAATTGAGAGCCTAACTGATAGGAGAAATGTGATACAAGTGCAGAAGTGATGATGCTGGCATAAAAAGTCAAAACACTGACTCTTTACGCGTCACAAGCTCTCCAGATCTCTAATACAATACAACAGTCCTCCCACTAATGTAATAGTGAGTGGACACTGAAGCACTGGGGCCAAGAGCAAACAGCTCAATGTCTGCAATAACCCTGGCAAAGACTTCAGGAGACGTTCATCCACTATTGAATTCAATTTATGTCTGTTTTGAGGTCCCATCCTCAGCCCACTCTACAGGAAGCAAAAATGTTAAGCAAAGTGTTAGAATAATGTATTCCCACAGGACAAAGCACCCTGAAGGTTTTCAAACAACAGTGATGTTCATCTGTGGTGCAGCCCTCAGTCACCCTCTTTAGAGGGTCTACTTTTTCTAAGATAGTACCCAAGTGTTTGTAACTTTCTCTATTAAAATGTCTGCATACTAAGAAATAAATTTAAGTTGGTACTCTGTGAGCTAACACACTGGGAGACAAAAGTATAATAGTTTTCATTTCTTGGCTGAAAAGTCCACATGACATGTCCAATCAGACTTTGTGGAATCTTAGCCAGCTATCCTGAGGTTCTAGTGTTTTGGCTTTTTAAACCAACTTTAACAAAAACACATTAATTATTCTATTACCTCTCATAGAGGATAAAGGTTACTATCTTTGTGTGCCCAATGCATCTCTTTAATGGGAAAAAATTCTAATGAAAAGCATGGATGTGTGCTCTCAATTGGACCAATCATATTACCCCATCTTCCTGGCTGTGATTGGTTTGGGGGAGAATATGTGACCTAAGTTGGTCCAATGCAACTCATGCTTGGGATTGTTTTCAGGCTGGAGTCAGAGAGGAAGAACTCTTCATCTTTGCTGGTTGAAGAGCTGTTTGGATGAGATGAAGAGACCAAGGTTGCTCAGAGCCATGTTCCCCATGGCGTGGAGAAAGCCATCTGCAAAGAGCACCAGACACACTAGTTAGAAATAGTGTGAGCCCTGAAAATGCTCCTGCCACAGGTCCTGCACATCCCCAGGACCAGCTCCCTACATCCTGTGTTGGGTTATACCAGCCAACGAGTTCTCCTTTTTGCATGGGCAAGTTAGGGTTCAGTCATCTGCAAACCAAAGTGGCCCAACCAGGGCACAGAATACCTTACACTCACAAGGTGTGCAAATACATATTGATTATCTGGTTGCTTTGATGTAGTGCTTTTTCTGTACCTTTTTTTGTGACCTACAATTTCACTCTCAACAAAGCTTAAGCAAATGTAAGGCGGCAATTTTCCAGTAATAGATGAGTGCCCTAGCCCCTCAGCATTGGCCAGTATTTAAGATGTCTGTGTTCAATTTCTTAACTTGTAAACTATGGCCAACAGCAACAGCAGCTACTTGTTTAGCATCTACTGCATTCCAGGTACTGGCCTAAGGCTGAGTATATACTGTTCTATTTCCTACAGCAATTTTGTAACATGTGCATAATGATTCCCATTTTATAGATGAGAAAGCTGAGGTGCAACGAGTTTAAACAAACTGACCGAGGTCACATAGCTTGAGTGACAGAATTCGGATTCATACCCAGGTTTGTCTGAGCCTGTACTCTTTCCAATGTCCTGTGATGCCCTTCTTATTCAAAAAGCTTATGTGTATGATAAAATAATGCAGGTAAAATTGATTTAAAAATAGAAAATAGTAAAAAGAAATCAACTGACAACAAAAAATGTGAAAGGAAGACCAAATATTAGCAAGGAAGATTTAGGTTAAAGAGAACATTCTGACTACCCCAATTACAGCATTTAGAAACAGTAATTGGAAAAATGAGTGCTGAATCTCATACAAATGAGAAATTTTATGAAGACAGAAAGTGCAGCCAAGATTCTGTTCCATGTCTGAAGCCTCAGTAAAACTCACAAGGACATATGTAAGCAAGTTTTGCGAGGGAGAACCAAACCTCATTTTTCATTTTCTCCCTTGAACCATCAGAACCTTGAACCTGGCATTTCCTTTGTGGTCTTGTTGATGAAATGTACTTATAAGATATGAACATTTTGACTTACATATCTGGATGCTAATATCAGTAGTGTTTGAAAGGAGTAAACATATAGTCGGACTGTCCATGTACCATTCAAATATATGCAAACCCTATTTTTGCATAAGTTTAACTAAAAGAAGGAAAGACCAGGTCTATGTATTGAATGACACTTTGTAATAAAACTCTCATGTCTTCAGACTATAATTACTATTTCAAACAGATTCAAGGAAACCATATTATGAACTATCCGCTTTATGCCCATTTTATTCATTAGACTGTGAGTGCTTTGGGCGTAGAAATTGTGTCTTACTCATTTTTTTCTCTCTAGAATCTAGCACAGGTGAAATATGGCATAGGTTATGTTATCACTTGCATGGGTCCTGCGAACTTTAACTTTCATGGACCTCTTCCTCCATAAAAAATATTAAAAATTACATATTATCATGTTGCTATAAAGATGAATATACTAGTATTACATAATTCAATAACATTTTCTTTGTCCTAAAGTTTTATTTTTTTCTATTGATTTGGAAAGAAATTAAAACATTTGCCCAGGTCCCTAGAAGTATTGCGGGCTCCAGGTGCTATGCCAACCTTGCCTGTGAACAATCAGTCCTGACATGTGCTAAGCACAGTTTTGCTGAATGAGTTAAATGATCTTAAATTGACATATATCTGATGGAACTGATTCTTAGAGCTTCTATTCTGGAGTAACTTTCAGCTTAAAATAGTTTTCCAAAGCAACTAATTAATGAAATCACCACCAAGTGCTAATATTCATTTAATCTGAAGCCAACTACTGAAATGTACCGCTGTAAAAAAAAATTAAAACCCAAGAGCAGTGTGGAAGAAATCTGTCAAAGTGGCAAAATAAATATTTTAAAATAATATCAGAGGTTGCTGTAATTTTGAACAAATAACAGCTCATCTCTTAAATAGTGAAAATCAAATATTTTCTTTTTTTAAATTCTGACATTCCAAGAGAGTGAGTTCAAAAGTTTGATACTCAAAAAAATGTGGATTTATACTTGGAGCCACATAGTTATTGACTATAATTCAGTTAAACATGTGCCCAGAATGCTGGCCTTGCTGCCGCTCACAACATTGTTTTTGGAACTCAGCACTTCTTCACTGTTGTTTCCACAGACATCTTTTTTTAATAGAAAATTGATTGATGAAATCTTAGGCAGGAATAAATGCTAATGCATATAATAAATTAAAATGCTGTCATTTTATAAGAAAGGTTTATTGGCTAACTGTGCTATTTCTTCTAGTAATTCAAAGTCTAGTGTTTAATTTACAGAACAAAATGTGGAAATCAGTTATTCAGGCAGAGTATGGTAAAACTGACTTTCACAATTATGTTTTGGGAGGCAACCAGAATGACTTACCCACTGACTTAAAATGTAGAGTCATACCTGAGCGGTTTATTCCCCACTTCAAAACTGTATTGAACGATGTTCAAACTATGAGAAAGCATTTATGCAGTGCCCAGAGAGCATTGTGTGCAAATTAATATCTGGAGAATAATTCAGATTCACCGTTCCAAAAAGGGTATCATACATATAGAGTCATGCTAGTATTTATGGGATGGACATTTACCGGAACAGCTGTTAAAGGCTACATAATAAAAGTGCATTAAAGCTGCCTAAATTAATTAACCATTGATACTGAAATGCATTCAGCTAATGAATTCTGCCTCCCCAGAAAGTGCCCTCTTTCAACAATATAAAAAAAAAGCAAAAAACATCTTTTTCCTTCTCTTTTCCATAACATCTAGCCACCCCTGGGCCAGCAGGAAGGAGGGGTCGTCTAGTGATCAGACATTCTTGCTTCTCGCCTCCAAGGGCAAATGGGCTGCGTCAACAGCTGTCACATCCTGCTGCCCTGCGTAACAGGAAACCAGCCTCGAGTCTCATACTTACCTCCTGAATTGCATTACCTAACCGGCAGTCTTGCCAGATCCTTTAAATGCCTGTTGTATGTGAAGGCGGTAAAGGCTTCGAGGGGCTGGTGAACAGGGAGGGCATCCGGGTTTGGGAGGGGGCACTGCCTGGCTCAGCTCTCTGCCATCTGGAGATGAAACAGGCACAGAGGAGGAGAAGGAGGACACACAAGGTCACGCGGCCACCTCATGCCAGCAGGCAGCATCACATCCCTGTGCGTGGTTGAAACAATAAGCGGTCTTGCAATGAGGCTGCGAGTTTTGCAAAGGCACATAGTGGGGAGCTTCAGAGATCTAGGTTGTGGACTCAATCACAGTTATTCAGTTTGCCTTTCAGTCGGACAAGCCTCTTGTTTTCCCACGTTCCCCATACGATGTCCGGCTCTGCCCATCGTATTGCTCGTGAGCAGTTCCAGCAGAGGGCAGGCAGGGGAAGGGAGAGCAGTCATATATTACAGCAGACGATCTAGAGTGCTCTGAACATGTTATGGCAAATTTTCTGGATTACTAAGAGCAACCAAAGTTTTTCTGTCCAAATTATTTTTTCTACCTGTCTGTATAAAGTGTCACCAGTTCTCAGGGGCTCCTCTCTCAAGGAGTTCACGGTCCGGTTTAGGAAGGCAAATTAAAGAAGTAGTGAGGAAGCCATGCTCTAAAGCCATCCCAAGCTATCCTCAGGAAAGTCATGGGTGTCAAGAGAAGGAGGAGAGGACTTTGGGTGCTGAAGTGGGGGACAGCATTTCTAGATTCAAAGTATGAATGGACGTAAACCATCAGTGCCGCGCAGTGAGAGTTAATGCTTGGGCAAAAGTAATTGTTGAAAATTCTCTGACCAGGTCTGGGTGATGGCCTCACAGAGAGGGTGTTTAGGCATCCTGCTAGAATTCGGTTTATGTCAGACAGGTCTCATCAGATCTTAGCTCCAGGACTTTGTGGTGATCAGCCAGAGCGAAGGGACTGGGCAGATTCAGGATTGGTTGGCATTCCAGAAGGAAAAAGATTCAGTATCTTTCCATATCATTCATTTTAACGTCTGTGTGACAGTGTCATGGGCAACTCACCACGAGGAGATCTTCATCAGATAAACAGGGCTGCAAAATTCGTAGCCAAGGAATGCGGGCTGAAGAGACACTCCCAGCCACAGCTGCTACCTGAACACCAGGACTGGCTTGGAACCAAGGAGACATGCTGAAACCAGGAGCCTCGGCGACGAGTGGCAATGTTACAGCCGCTTAATCCTGAAATGAAAAGTAATTGCTTCTGGCTTCAAGAATAAAGGAAAAACAAGATCAGCCTTGGCCGAATCACACTTTTTTCCCCCCGTAAAAGCAACGATGGTATAGACCAAGTTCTAAAACCTGCTTGGTATTTGAAAATGTGAGGAAATGGATGTTTTCTGTCAATATAATTTAAATCCATCCAAGAGTACTGATATCTAAGAACCCTTGAATGCAAATGCATTTTTGATTAACATGATTAAGTCAAATGTGTTTACTTTTAGCTATAAGGGATGACATCTAAAATTTAACTTACTTAAATATAATTTTAGAAGGTTGATCTTCAAAATATATGTTGCTTTTTTGGGTGGCATTTCGTACTGAAAGTCTCAGCAGAAGTTGCCAGAGCTGCTTTTCTATACAGATGAAACTGCAAATGGAGAAAATACAGAAGGAGGGAAGGGTGTGGGATTTCAACACTTCTAATATATTCTTGTGATGCAACTGTCTTCTCTATAAAAAACAATACATAAACACCCATAAAGAAACAGCTGTGAGTTTAAATTATTGTCAGAAGAATCTAAAAATGACTTTAACCCACAACCGAGTGAGTAATATCTATGTTTTTATTTGTTTACCTCTCAGGGGGCTACAGAATGGCAAATGTCAGGAGATGGTTTTTAGACAGACTCTCCATTTCCCTGAGAGCAAGGGAGCGATGCCAGAGTAAAACAGCAAGAATGAGAGCAAAGAAATCTGGTCTTTTGTGTTCTAATTTTAAAATATATGTATTAATTGAAAATATTTGCATCCGACGCACAATGACGTAGAGAGAAGTAACTAAAATACATCTTATTTCCTAGAGCCATATAAAATTGCCTACACAAACAACAGTTTCACATGATCTCACCTAATACCATAAGCCTTCACAGGAGTCTCACCAACTAATAATAACCAATAAGGGATACAACCCGGTTTGCCCTCCTGCCATCATTCGGTACAAACACTAATATTATAAAACTAATATCACACACTCACAGCTTGTGTTTCTGCTTCATTAATTCAAAACAGAAGAAAATAATTCTTATACCAGAAGATTTCTGGATACCACCAGTTTTGGGGATGTCACCTACCAGAACAGCACTGTGACACTTACAACGGCGACTGCTTTCCCATGAGCTGAGGGCTGGGGGACAGCTGGAAGGCCAGCCACCAGCCCAATAACCCGATGCACTGTAATCACAAACCTGAGGGCTTATTTTAGTCAAAGGTGTCATACAACCCATGAGGTAAAGGAACAGCCATGAACACCACCAAGAATGCAAAGAATGTCCACAGCTGATGAATCGTGCTCTCTACTGGGATATGACACACAGCCAGTGACCCTGAAAGCCACAGTATTTCCAAAGAAAAAGTACTAGGTACTTAGTAACACTTTGAAGTTTTTTTTTAAAAGCAGTTCTTTCTACACCAATACTCTACCATTCTGTGCCAAGAAAGGATACTGTGTGCTCACATGGTCTCAATTTTCTTTTCTACACTAAGCATGATTCAGATGTTAGCAAGGTTTCCGTTCCTATTATAGAGAAGGCTTAGATAAGCTTTCTATTCTTACAAAATATGAGAGTGTCCCAAGGAAATACAGATTTAAAGTATAATATAAGCATATATTTTAACGGAGATACACAGTGATTGCAAACATTTAGATGATTAGGAAGTGTATAATATGTTGTTGAATGCAGTTTTAGTCCAAATACGTCAGTTGCAAATTTAAGGCAATCTCAGTTTCATATGTTAAAAAAATTAAGATTACAAAAATGTAATCTCTTATGGTCAATATTATTAAAAGAAAATCACACAAGAAGATGACATATTTTCTTCGAATCCCCTTATTCCCATACCAGATGTCCTTGAGAGAAAGCAAAGATCTTTCTTTGCCCAGAGATTTAAAGACAAGACTCATTCTTTAGTACTTGCATTTTGTTTTCTGGAGCTGGAATCCGAATAGCTGGCAATTCAAATACAATTATCAGCATGGACCTGGGTGAACTAACCCCCGAGAGTCTACAACTTGCTTTTTAGAAAGAAATGTGTCTTTTCAAATTATACTTCATAAAAAGTGAAGTTTCATAAGATTTTAAAACATGGACTTAAAGAGGTTTTGTTTCTCCCATTCCCTTGCCATATTTGCCTTCTTCTCTGAGCATCAGCTCTCCTTTTTCTGGTGTAAATTTTGAGGAGATTCTGAGGCGTGGCCATTGGGATGGCACTGTGACTTCACTGAAGGACTGCTTCACCCAGCCCAGCAGGTGGAACCTGTAAAGAACTTCACAAACTACATTTGGAAAGTACAGCAACAGAGAGTAAACTTAGGACGTTTTCTAGGATTGCTCCAATGTCAATTTTATCTAATTTATTTAAAAGACAACTGACAATTTAAAGCAAAAGCAGTAACAACTTGTGGGGCTTTTAACATGTGTAGAAGTATGATGTATGACAGTAATGGGGCAAAGGACAAATAGGGGAACAGGAAGTATACATTTGTAAGTTTTTGTACTACATACATAGTGATACAACATAAAATTGTAGTAGACTCTGCTAAATTAAGGGTGCATGTTAAAACCCCTAGATCAGTCACTAAAACTAAGAGGTATGGCTTTTCAGGCAACAGAGGAGATAAAATGGAATACTTAAAAATCCTCAACAAGTCCAAAAGAAGGAAGCAAAGGAGAAACAAGGGAACAACAACAAAAAGACAGTACAAAAAAAAAAAAAAAGTAGGAGAAAACAATAAGACGTTGGATATAAACTTAACATCACTAATTACATTAAATGTAATTGGACTAAAGACCCCAATTAAAAGGCAGAGGTTATAAAACTGAATAAAAAGACAAGAACCAACCCTATTCAGTTTGTAAGAGAGATGTATTAAATATAAAGCATAAGTATAAAGACATAATAGGTTAGACATAAAAGAGAAAAAAAGGTATATTTCTATTTTATTCCATTATTGTATGTCTCTCCTTTTACCAATACCACAATGACTTTATCATTGTAATTTAATTTAACAAGATCCCAAGTGATTCATATGGATCTTAAATTTGAGACCTAATGGATAGATAGCCTTTCTGTGGTGTTTGGCAGTGATAAAAAGGAAACATTTATTGAATACTTGCCACTTATCTAAGATCATAAAAATAAACCAGGCCCCAGATTTCCTGACTCTCAGGTAACTGCAATGTCCACCAAGAACTCAGCTCTATAATTGAGTCATAGCCATTCAATAATAAACAAGGAAAATAGTAATTTCTATTTACTCACGTATTTACCATTTCTAGCATTCTTCATTTTTTCATCTTGAATCACTTCCTTTAGCCTGAAGAACTTCCTTCAGTATTTATGTCTATTGCTGAAAAATTCCCTCAGCTTTTGCTTATTTGACAATTTTTTTTCTTCCTTCCTTCCTTTCTTCCTTCCTTTTTCACTCTAATTTTACCCTTCTATTTTGAAGGATCTTTTTACTAGGTTTTTAATTCAGGTTAACAAGTGTTATTTATTTCAACACTTCAAAGATTTTTAAGGATGTCTTCTAGCTTATTGAGAAGTCAGCATTATTGTTTCCCTAGGTCCTGTGCAGAATGAATCTTTTTCCTCTGCCTGCAGTTAAGATTTTTCTTTTGATTCTTGCTTTTCAGAAATGTGACTATAATGTACCTGACAGTGGTTTTCTTTAACTTTATTCTGCTTGGAATTCATTGAGCTTCTTAGATTCATGAGTTAATGTTTTTCATCAAATTTGGATTTTTTTCAGCCATTTTTCTTCAGATATTTTTTCTCTGCCTTAACTAGTTACTCTCTTCTCCTTCTGGGACTCCAGTTTCACCGATGTTAAACCACCTCAAACTACCCCACAAGTCAGTGAGGCTCTGTTCTTTTTTTTTTCCCAGCCTTTTTTCTCTATGTGTTTCTGTTTGAATAATTTATATTGCCCTGTCTTCAAGTTTACTAATTTTTTTCTTCTGTAGAATATAATTTGCTGTTAAGCCTATCTAGTGATTAATTTTTTTTCATTTAAGATATTTCATTTCCAGTTCCAGGCGGTTTTCTTTTACAGTTTACATTTCTCTCCTGAGACTTTCCCTCTGTTTGCTTGAGTCCGTATTTACTTTTAAATCTTTAAACACTTTTATAAGATCAGTTTATAAAATTCTTTATAAGGACAATTTTTTTAAAGCCCTTGTTGGCTAATTCCAACATCTCTGTCATCTCTGAGCACGTTTCATCCTCAAAAATGATATTGAAAGATAAATAAAGCCGAATGTCAACACAACTAATAGCTCTAGCGGAGATCACACATGCTCATCTGCTGGAATTCCAGGTTCCTGAATCCCTTCCTGTCACCTGGGAGAGTGTGAGGGATTAAATGCTCTCCTCACTGCCACTTGCTTGTCGCTGCAGTCGTTGCCTCCTTCCCAAGTCCCTCACGGCTTGTACTTCACGGGGGCCTGCTTCCCCAGGCCCTAGTTTCCTGCCACGTTGCTCTGGTGGTGTTAGAGCAGGCAGATAGCTAGATATGAGCAGAGACAGGGGGACACGGGCCAAATGGTAGAAAACCACACATCTTGTGAACAATGGGGGTCCTTGGACAGACCAAGAAAAACAGGATCCTCTGGAAAGATTAAAAAAAAAAAAACTTTCTGGGTTGACACGTGTCCTGGAGGCAGAAGGGTGGGACAAGACAGGAATCCCCACCATCCAAATGTAACCTTTTGATCATTATGGCCTCCGTCCAAATGTAACCTTTTGCTTATGATACCCTCATCTGAATGTAACCTTTTGCTCATTACGACTTCATCCGACTTCCTGATCCAGACTAAATAAGGACCAAAAAACCCCTCCTCCCCACCTGGGAAGGTGAAGCTGGGGTGAAGATCGGGGAAGACGACCCCAAACCCCTTCCTGCCAATGAATATTCTGCCCATTCATTTTTACACCCATATAACTAGTTTGCCAAGGACACT